ATCCTAAGACACCTAGAAGAATCATCCAGTAGAACACATGCATAAGTGCTGCCAATTCAGTTCACAGCTCCCTGACAGAAACTAGTTAATCTGCACAGTTTTAACACGATTCACATATCTTGTAATATATGCAATTTATACAATAATATCTATATGATGTATATAATAATATCTATATGATGTATATAATAATATCTATATGATGTATATAATAATATCTATAATATGTTTATGCTGGCTCTGAGCCAATTATCATTCCATGAGTTCTACTGTCCTACCTAATTTTAGGCTAAACAACTTGAAGACAAGCTACAAACAATAAATGGGATAGAAGAATGTAACCCACTGCAAAAGCATTTTTGTCATCCTGATCTTTGAAATCTCATTGTCAATTACTTTTTGCAGTAGAGTCTCAAGTGATATGTTCTTGATTATCAGAGATTGGCATGACTATACAAGTTAATAATTTATATTCCTCCACCTCATACAGAGATCAAACTTCAAAGTTAAGATGTTTTGCAGCCTATTCCTAGTATTCTGAAACTGACAAGCTGAAGAATAAGCCACAAAGAAAGCCATTAAGCCAAAAATCACCACCTTCATGATTTTCATGCAACCAGCAATACTAGAAAACAGGTTTTCCAGTGCGTCATCTAAGCAAAAATGGTAGCTGTGAAAACTGTGTATGGAAAGGCTACAAAGAAAAAAGAGAAAGCTTGTGGAATATTCAAACATTAAAAATCTATAAAAACAATTTTAATCATAACTTTAGAAGCAGGGCTAACTGGAAAAACAGCTTTTATATGGAACTCAAAGAACTTCGAATACAGTGCATATAGTAAGATTTTTACATAGAAGAAAACTGAAGTCAGATTTTAGTAGGCTAATACTCCTATACAATTCATATAAACTGCGACAGAGGAAAAAATACAGCTGCTTGTTCTGTTGCTGACGTTACACCAGATCTCAGAGAAAGAACAGCTCTCTATCCTGCTAGTGCTACACTAATGCAGAGAACGTAATGTAATTGTAGAGATTATAAATGATTATGTAATTCATAATCATAATTATGAATGTAATTCATAAATACTGACTATCTGTGGAGATTCTGAACCACAGGAAGCTCCATCTGAACCTGAGAAAAAACTTCTTCACTGTGAGGGTGACAGAGCATTGGAACAGGTTGCCCAGAGAGGTGGTGGAGTCTCCTTCGCTAGAGATATTCAAAAGCCGTCTGGATGTGATCCTGGGCAATATGCTCTAGGTGACCCTGCTTGAACAGGGAGGTTGGACTAGATGATCTCCAGAGGTCCCTTCCAACCTAAACGATTCTGTGATTCTGTGATTCTTGCTTAACTGACAGACCTGTGGGGCTGATCTGAACAGGATCCCGAGGATTCATACTCAGTGAAAAGAAGTATGAGGAAAGGAAAACAGAAACGGAGCAACAAGCTGAAATGCAAAATTCAGCACCCAACCACTTGCTGCTCCCATGGTAAAGGAGTTTGAGTTGGCTAGTTAGCTACACTTCTGAGAGAGATCCAAGGACCACAAGGAGGGAGAGGCAAGTTGTGAGAAGAAAAGTCTACCTGATACGCACGAAAGTCCCAGTTAGTTATGAACCTTTATAGAAGACCCCCGTCCCCTTTTTTAATGTTCAGAAAAATTACTGTTTAAGTTTGATGCAGAAATTCATGCCTAAGCTGCGGGACACTACTACTCTTGAGTTATTTTTTCAGAGTTAAAGATGAAATGGATTTAAATCAAGGAGAATAATCAGTAACGTTAATTTTGTTTAAATATATAAATATTATGTTAGACATTATAACATTTCTTTAATCAAATGAATCAGTAGGTTCTTGGAGAGAATGTAGAACCCATTTACAAACCAGAAAATTCTCTTGAAATTCTCAAAATAAATGGTAATTTTCTGCCTATTTGTTAGATTTCATACACCCCTGCAATAATGGGAACTAAAGGGCTACTTCCATTATTCAAATATAGTATTTTAAAAGTAGCTGTCAGTTAAAAAAAAAAAAAATCAGGATTGGCATTCTTTGCAAATAAAAGTACTGTACATTATAATATTATATAGCTAGAAGAATATGTATATATATATGTATATAGTATTTGAACTGCTGTACAGCCTCCCTTTTCTAGTGGATTCAACAAAAATGGTTCAAAAGTTGCACTACACCACTGACAGAAGGAACACTTCTGCAAAGATTACGAAGAAAGCAGAGTTGATAATTAACTGTTAATCAACAATAAGTTGCATGAACTATAGCCAGACACCAGATATTTTTATTTATGGATATATTACATATATATAAAATACACATGGACAATGATAACTACAAAAGGTCAAGGGATGCTCCAATGCAATAGAAGAGATAATCAGACTAAAAAGAAAAAAAAACTTCATTTTGCCCATTTTCTAAACTAGCTGAACAGTAAATACATACCCATGATTAGCACAGCACTCGACATAAGCTATGATGCCTTTTGAGACACTAAGTTCAGATTCAGCACCACGCTAATACAACTGTACATCTTCCATCTTACAGTTGGCTGATTTTTATCCCGTTCCGATTACAGGGCAAGTATGCTAGCAGGGACATATTTCCATAAATCAAATGTCTTGCCTATATCATAAACCGCTCCAGCTCAGAATGAGACGAAGTACTTCAGTTTTGTCCCACATACAAGACGACGATTACAGAATTCTAATATTTTAATTATAAAGACAATTTTTTTTTTTCTACCACAAATTATGCCTACTTCTTTGCAAAGATTATTTTGGAACATTTATGTAAGTCTAAGTGATTAAAAAAAAAATGCATGAAAATGTGGGAAGAAACTTCATGTAAAACTATGTAACAAGACCTACATGTTGGTGTTATACAGGTATGTAGGAACTTCCCTCACCACCTCCACTAAAGGAAGAGTAAACAGCCTGGAAGCCTTCCATCTGACAGGCTTTTTTATGCTGAAAGACCAGAACGTAAGAGGCAGAAGAAAAAGGAAAGAATATCTATCTAGTACAGGAAGAGTTTCAGACTGACTCTCCCTAGCCCTAGAGCGAAAAGGCATTTCTCAGACTGAAAGACTGCAACTTTGAGGGAGAGGAACTACAGTAACTTGGACTTTGGAAGATGGATGGATAAACTGCAGCCTAAAGAGAACATATGTCCACAACCCCAGTCCTTGTTGCTCGTGGGTAAAGCTTCCCACAGTGAAAAGGAACTCGGCTGTGCATCCCTGTTCTCTCCCAGCTGCATAGTTCACTAGGTTAGTGCTCCAGCACGTTCAACACTGCCCTTGACTGGGGGCTACTACTTTGCCCTCATAGGAACTGTTCATGTGGCCAGTGAGAGTCTTCATATTCTCCCCT